CCTTAGCAAATAGTAATATAAGGAGCTGAAAAGTGATCGTTGCGTAATTTGGTCGCTACAGAAGGGAAGGGAATGGCTCTGCCAAAAATTCCTTTCACTGCTGCTTTTGACCAGTTCGGGCACATAATATGACCCCTATAAAATCCCCATTCAGCGTCCCCTGATCGGAGCGAGACCATGGCCAGGAGCTACACAGGGCGAATAGCCCTCGAGCAATCCCGTAGGAGAGGTGGATAGTATAAGAGTTGCTAAGAGATGCTCATTACGCATAGGATAGGTGGAGTGTTCTAGGAAACTGGGACCACAATTCACCAATGAGTAATGAGTTTACAGCTGAAGAGCAAAAGGCCCGATCAGGAATTTTCAGGAAGTTGGGGGATTTTTTAAACGCATAATGGTGCCCTTGACCATTTTTTTCGTGAGCGCACCTACCGGATTTCTGAAAAACTCGCTACATTTTTCGCTCAACTATCAAGATTTCCACACGTGATCACTTCCAACCCTCCCTTAAACAGATTCAGCTGTGATTCCGATGAAAACGCACCCCTCCCCACAACGCCGGCAACGCCAGCACACTTTACTGGTAGATTAGCGATGTTTTCTACATCTTAGTGTTTGTCGGCATGGGACGCGTGCGGTCGCTGCGCGGCCTTGTGCCTTGTCATCCACTTGTACAAAGGGCATCTTGCAGGTGTTCAACTTTCAGCCGCAGAATCGCTGAAGTAGTACTCCCCTAAATAGATTTAACAATGACCCCGACACAAACGCGCCTCCCACAACGCCGCAACATAAAGCAATGATGTGGTCAAACCCCTTGGTTTTCATCCCATCCGAGCTTTGTTGGAAAAAATCACGCACAGTAGGCGCGTGCGGTCGCGCTGCGACTGCAGCGAGCTAGTGTGATTTGCGCGCTCGTTCCCCTTTTAACACGATACTCTTGTAACAAACCAATATCCGCTTCGCGAACGCATCGTTCCGCAATCCACAAGATGCATCCCACCCTATGAAAAGCTAAAAAATAAACCTCTAGATACGAACTAATTGCCAAACTCACGGCTTTGTTCCTTCAAAAACCACTTTCGGTTCTTCGACAGGGGGTGGAGCGTTTTCTCGTTTTCGTTCAGGTTCTGAACTACTGGTGAACTTTTATCATTCAGAGATTTACTAAAGCAATAAATAGGTAATTAGGAACAGTTCGGCGACGGGAAGGGGCATTTTGCGCTTTTGCTACTTCCCATCAACGTGTCGACCCATCTAGAAAGCTATTTCATGAGCTTACAAGAGTTGACAGGTTTCACCATGATGGCTCGACGAGCTTGCTCCAGCTTCACAAGGAGTTTACAGGTTTCACCAGAGTGAGACTTGTAAAGCGGAACAAGTGAAGCAGCGAAAAGAGTGCCCCCCCCCTTGTTGCCGGACTGCGCCGGTAATTGAGTAATTCTCAAACTACTCGTCTCGGGACCAAATGAAGGAACAAATCTTACCTTCTGGTGGAAAAGCGCAAAGGTAGTTTGCTGGAGTATTGCATGGTAGTGAGTTCCAGTGTGCCGTTCCTCCAGAAACTACATAAGCCGCACATGAGTTCGGCGTTGAAATTGACGAGCCAGAGGGTCTGAAAATGGGATCAGATTTATTTAGGGTAACACCGAGGTGGAAACCTGATAAGGCTGGGGAGAAGTCCGCAAGAATCTCGCACTTTTCAGGTTCAAATTATATCAGAACTCAGATATGGAGCTTTGTAGGTACAGATGCTCCCGGTGAATGGACAGGGGCCACGGAATGGTACGCGTGCAGTTGCAGTCAGTCAGGTCACCACTGAAGCGCGTTAAGGCTTCAACAGCGGAATTTCGCATGCATAAAGTGCTCGGTGGATGAATCGAGCTCATAGGTACGATACGCGAGCGGCCGCGGCGCGGTTCAATTGTTTCTGTTGGTTCTGCGAGATCGGAATATTGACGCAAGAGCATTGAAAGCTCATGGAGGCTTCAAACGTGACAACTTCTGTCGCTGTGGGAACCTGTTGTCATAATGAGCCTTCTTTCTCGGCGACTGCGCGCTGGACACGAATGTACCAGAACAAGTGATCCTGATTTTGTCCGTCCAGACATACCCATGGGCTTTCTTCGGAAATATTAATTTCCAGGCTACCATGGAGAACAATTGACGTTTTCTGGCTCTTTCGAAAGTGCGTCTGCCGTCGGATCCCTAGAACTCGGGACCGCACTTTTTTCAATTGGTCAGAAGGTGACACCTTTTGAACGGGAACGGTTTTAATTTAATTTAACAATTAATATTACTAACGGTAAAATTAGTACCAAGCTGTATAATAAAACGGATGATTTTAGCTTCAATGTAATCAGATTTCCGTATAGTGACACAAACATTTCCCTTATTAACAAATCCTCTGTATATACGGAAACTTTGAGGTTAGCGAACACTTGTTCGTTCTTCAACTTGAGGCTAGCGAACACTTGTTCGTTCTTCAATGTTTTCGTTAGCAAAATAACGGATATGGTCACAACACTCTTGAAAAATGGCTACGAAGAAGATTTTATTATTACTAGCATTGTAAAATGTATTTACAAAAATAAATTTATAAGTTACAAATACTCAATCGCAAATAACTATAGAAAGATAAATAGACTAGTGACAGGTATTCTCATTTGCAGCGGTGCTCAACACTAATTCTCCTCCTTCCACTACACTTTTATTTGATTTGATTTTTGTAATCCGCTTGGACATTGTTTTATACTCAACATCTCTCAGTAGGTTTAACCTATTAACAATCCAATTATCCTTCCTCCTACACGTATTTACTACTCACATCGTGTTATATCACTCTCTCATTTTTACGTATAATTCATCATCAACTTGATAGCATGAACTTTGCATGTTAAAACTATTATAGGTTCAGGTTGTCAGGCCACCTACAGTACCCCCGTAAATTGCGCGTGGGATTAATTGTGTTGTCCGTGAATGCACACAACGGGGCCTGGCTCTAAGCGGACCACTTATTTTAGGCGTAGAGTACTGTAGCCTGGCCACGGGGCAGGTGCCTGCCGGGGACGGGCGGGTCGCTGCCCGGGTGCCAGTACAAAAGTTTCCAAGAAGGTACGGGCGACGACATGTGGGAGGATATTCTTCACGAGTTGCTCGATGTAACTGCCAGCGCTCACCTTCAGTCCGGGGTCACGAAGAAAATATCATCCATTCCAGGTACGTCCGGTCCATACCATCAACCCGCCTTGGCGACTGGGTGAAGATGATGTCCTAGACCGTAGCGACGTTGTCGGAGCTGCTCGATGTTGGAGGTCATCCAGATCGAGAGTACTGGTCTCCAGGTATCCATAGGTGACTCCATACTAGAAGTTTCGCAGCTGTTTGGAGGTGACATGAATTCCAAAGGTCTTCTCCAGTCAGGCTGCGACTGGAGATGACTTCATATTTTGGTGTACATGAAGGTGATGGGCGAGAGCCAGCTCCTGCTTATCGAGGAACATCTTGGGTATCTTCCGCCCTGGTACTCGTATCCACGTCCTCTGTCTGGGCTGCGAAAACTTTGCTGATATGTGACTCGGTCGAAGTGTCTTTTTTTTGCCCCCCCCCCTGTATATGAGGCCACAGAGGTGACTAGCATTCAAAAAAGCGAGGTAATGCTACGCGGATGAGAGGCCAGACAGGACAAACGATGTGAAAAAAGAAAGGCGAGTGAGAATACAGACACGGTAACAAAAAGAATGCACATGAATGCATCGATGTTCTTATCTGTAAATAGAATCCCTGGACCGCTAATGTGGCAACAGCACCTCTTGTCATTGGACCACAGCTGACCAGGTCACACCATTATTGGGGATTTCGGTCGAATCCGTACGACCCTCCATCTTTCCTAAGGTGCCGGTACGGCTCCCCGGCGCAGTTTGCCGACGGGGGGCATTTTGCACTTTCGTTGCTTCACTAGTTCTGGTTTACAAGTCTCACTCTGAAACCTGTGAACTCTTGTGAAGCTGGAGCAAGCTCGTCAAGCCATCATGGTAAAACCTGTCAACTCGAGAAGAGGCTGTCTAGATGGGTCGACACGTCGATGGGAAGTCGTTAAAGTGCAAAATGCCCCCCCCGTGCCAAACAGCGCCCCGCCCCCTACTTCTCTCCTCATCGAGCTGTTAAGCTGTCAAGCGACAGGGGGGACGGCGGTATATAATACACGAAACAGGGGAAGACCACGAAAAGAGCAACCTCGCTCAGAACTCTCAGGACCAGAAGGCAAATACGTCCCCCTCCCTCCCAGGAACGGGCAACGGGACGACTTCCCCCCCCCCCTTTTGTAGCGCCCCGAAACAAGAAAAGCTTATCAAAAAAATTTTCTGAGACATAATATGACCCATAAGGGGAATCCCCAACGATGATGTTCCCTGCCTCCCACCTCTTCCACTCTCTTCATATAGGAAGTTTTATTCCCACTTCCTATGATATTTAATTCGCATCAAGCGCTTGCGAGCGAAAGCGGTGCAGAGGCACTGAGGTGGCGCCGCTTGTCACTGGTGGTCACATCGGATTGCCTCCCGCCCAGAACAGCTTTTGGACTTTCAGAATCGGCTTACCAGCACAAGAGTCGGCTGAAAGGACTTGACTCACACATCGCTTCATCCAACCAAAGAGAACCCACCCTTTGTCCAGGTCACTGTCCGCAAAACGCCCACCCTCTAAAACTCTCAACGTTTCAAGGTGTAATTTGTGGCGTATCCCAGATGGGATCGAGCAACGCCGACAGTTTCACCGTTTTTCATGAGACAGCCCAATTCTAATTAGGATATCGGTTTCTGATCGTTTGGTAGCTTTATGAAGAGTGAAAGCGAACCGCAAAAATCGAAACTACTTAGTCCGGGGTTAACGATAATCGCAAAAACCTGTCGTTGCGACAGCTTAGTTCACCACCCCTGCATAACCACAATATAAAAGCCCAAGTATCAGCTCGTTAGCACGTCGATTTCGGCTTTCGTCTGATGTTCGCCAAGCAGCTCTCAGTATTAGCGTCTATCGCTTCAGGTGTAAGCATTTGCTTAGCCATTGTAGCCGTTGGATATCTATTTAACGACATCAACAACTTCTACGATGATGCTATGGGAGAGCTAGACGAATTCGAGGTTAGTTATGCCACAGAAGTTGTTTGGACCTAAAGGCTCACCTTACACCTTTCCAGGTCACTGCCAATGCTGCCTGGAAAGATATGGCTGAAATCATCCGAGCAGAGTCTCGCCGTGGAGTGAACAACGTTCATATTCGTGCAAAGAAACAAGCAGGTGGCTCGTGCAACTGTGCAGCAGGACCGAATGACTGCCCTCCAGGACCTCCAGGACCGCCAGGGGAGCCAGGACTTCCAGGAGAGGACGGCCCTCCAGGAGAAAACGGAAGGAATGGCAACAATGGTGGAACGTCAACAGGAGGTAACATTGGATGTGTACAGTGCCCTGCAGGAATACCAGGACCGCCAGGACCCGATGGTGCGGCTGGACCAGCAGGGCCGGATGGACAGCCTGGTCAGCCGGGCGCTCCTGGAACCGGTACTGGTCAGCCAGGGCCACCTGGACCACCTGGAGATGCAGGACAGCCCGGACAGGATGGAGCCCCTGGACAACCCGGTGCCCCAGGTGCCCCAGGACAAAGAGTAGTGTCAAACCCAGGATACCTGGTCTACCAGGACCACCAGGTATACCTGGGCAGCCAGGACCGGACGGACAGCCTGGTATCGGACAGCCAGGGCCACCAGGACCTCCGGGACCAAATGGTAATGACGGTCAACCTGGTAGCGATGGTGCACCTGGTCTTCCAGGAAATGATGGAGACAATGGAGGAGATGGCGAGTACTGCCCATGCCCACCACGTAACAGTAATTCTCCAGTGAGCGGCGGATCTCAAACCCAAGATATCTCAAACAGCGGAGGATATGACGGAGCCGGCAGTGAGCCAGGAAGTTCTGGAGCGCCTGGCCTACTGCCACCTGGCGCTAAGGTTCCTGAAGGATTTGAGGTCGTAGAGGTGGAAGTCACTGAAGGAGAAGATCATGATGCATCGATGGACGTGCAAGGTAATAACGGTCCCTCTGGGTACAGCATCCGTCGCCGCACCATCAGACGCCCGAAGAAGCTTCGACGATCCAAGGCGGTCTAAGCATGGCATTATTTAGTAAACTCTTGTCTGTATATGTAAAATGGGAACTCCGATAAATATTATGAATAGATTTTATGTTGGAAGTGAAGGCTCTTATGGGGGAAAGACCACTGTGCACCCTTCTGGATATTGAGGTCTACCTGGTGCCACAAAAATGGCGCTGAAAGCGTCTACCTGACAGGGCGCTCAAGCTGATTTCGGCCCCGAAAGCCTCCAACCGATCTGGAGTTTAATAGGAGAGGCGATTGGCGACATGAAATGGTGACTTGACCAAAGCAGTGGGAAAGCCATGAATACCCCTACCTGTAGATAACCGCGCTTCCATCACCCCATGCCGCTTGAGCACTCCCATTGACTTGCAGATCTATCCAAAAGGCGTCTTCGTCTTTACTTTTTCGCACCACTTGTCGAGAAAGTTCCATATCCATGGCTTCATCGATATCTGACACCAAGTAGCCGCCCTAAACAGGAAGAACATTTGGGTAAACATGTGTTTAATGAGGTTAACTTTGGATAGCGCAAAACCAAGATTACAGGAAAAGCCAGGAGTCTAATTGAACACAAGTTCCACTCTTATAGTATGGACCATCCACACTGTCATCCTCACTGACACCGAAGTAAAGATATAACAATAGATCTGATTCCGCCCACATGTTGAGTGCGAAGTGTGCCCCTCATTGTGCCCTTCAAAAATGAGACGCGAAAATAAGCGTCATATTGCTGCCCGCACTGGACCAACCTCTTACCTCGTCTCTCACCTTCTGGAAAGGAATAGCACACGAAAAACAAAAATTGGCCCAACTCCACATACGACGAGCGCTATGTGTGACCTTTTCAGGAAAAATTGTATATTCGAATAGCATCAAAAGTTCTGATCGGATTTCTCGTAAGAAAGAGGGATTTGGTATAATTATTGGAATGATTAAAATCAAACAATTTTTCTGCAGTGCGGAATTACTAAAGAAATAGAGGGTGGAACGATGTAGTTTTTGGAGTAGTAAATAAGAAAATATTGATAGAAGTTTCGGCTGCACACGCTGGGGCGTGACAGAAGGGCTATGTCTGGCACGGCGCTGCCGTCGTTTTCCATAAACTGTTGTAGCTCGCCATTGAAGAAGCATTGAAGCACGGACTGGCGCCGCGCCAACTACCCCCTCCCTCACTCCTCCTGCTAGGCCCCTGCCCTTCGCGAACATGACTGTACACTATTACTTACCCCAAAACTCCAACATTTCCATTCTAAATTGTGCTTATCCGTGCATTCTACTTCAATGTATACCGACTGATTCAAATTTAAACAGTTAAAACTTTTTACCTGTCGGCGACATTCTTCCTTTGCAGCCATGAATTGTAGAGGTTTTTGTTTAGTATCAATAGAGAGACAGCGACCAGTGATGTAAAATGAGCCAGATGCGCACTTTGTCTGCAGACCTGAATTGACCTTGAGAAGGACTGCTGAATGTTGCCTTTCTTTTTAGCCTGAATGGGAAAGAACCAAAAACCAAATAGCGCTGATTAACCATATAGGATTGGGATGCGCTGCTTTCTACAATTCTAGCCGAGAATCTAGCGCGCATAGGCAATAACTTGAGCGCGGGATGGCGCACATTTCAGTTTTTGAGTTCCCCCTCCTCCTCCCCCCCCCCCACCTCCGTGACAACTCTGTTGCATACACTTCGTGTGGTTGCGAGGCCAGGTTGAGCTGAATGGGGTCGAAACCAGGATCTGATCCGTAGAATATGCCGAAGAACCGATTCTATTTAGAATTGTATTATCTGGTAGAAAAGGTGGAGCCTTTGACATTGTTTGGTATCACTAGGAGAACGCCACGGATTCTACCTCCATCAAAAAATGTGGGAGCTCTGGAGGATGGGGCTAGTGGCACCACATGTCGCCGCTGGTTTCCTCTTGGAAACAGTTCGGGCTTGGGAAATGGCAACTCTTACTTCTGGCACCATCCTGGGAAGAGAGGAGGGGCATTATAGATAAACCAGCCGGCTTCGCCGGCTGACACCGGCGCGCCTCCTTCTGAGATACAGCACGGCTTCGTCGAGCAGGCGCGGCTCCGCCGCGCTTACCTTCTTCCACACATTTCATTAGCCGCCTAGTATCAGGCTTTTCTTTTACCTGAACAGGTGGTCAACATTCTTTGACCAATAGCATCATACCTGCTACTTTCAACACTATTACGGTGTATGGAGTGGTGGTAAGGAGCGTTGATCAAGTGGACAGATGAGAGAAAAGCCGGGTATTAGTCGAGCATTTGATCATACGAATGCAGGTAGGCGCGATGGAGCCACGCCCCGCAAAGCCGGGCCGTATACAGAGGAGGTCTGGAGAGTGCCTGGAGTGCGTGCTGTAATACCGCGATTGATGAATTTTAAGGCTGGACCAGTAACCTTACACGCTCCAAAGAAGTATTTCATATACATTAGCGAACGGGTGAGCCCTTTATCGCTGTCTGAACTACTCCTTCCCGGGTGTTTGGAGTGCTCTGGAACCGTTTTGCGAATTCTTCGATATTTGGTTCGCGCCAACTTCTGGATGCAGGGCTCCCGCCCAACAACGGGGAGGCCACTGCCTCGCACACACATTGATCACTGGGACAGCTAATCCATCTTTTGGCGACATCGCAGTGCTATCTTAGACCTAATGAGCACGCTTTCACTGCCTGCTCCTGAAAACGCATGCGGCCGAGGGGCTCCAGCACCGGCCGCTAAACATGGCGGACCCTCGCCAGGATCTTATATTTTCCGTCATTTTCTGCTCGATTCCCTATCAACTCTTAGGTGTACGATGTTACCTGTACTCTCAAGTTACGTCCTCGCCATTCGGGTGCCCCCCTCGGTTTTGGTCTGTGCCTTTAAGTGCTAACCCAACCACCCTCCCCCCCATAAACCGCCCCCCCCGCTCCCCCGCCCCCCCCCCCCCCCCCTCCGTCCCAGCGCTTCTGTTAGTTTGGTGATTCAGTGACACGGGAAGCAGCCGCCATTTTTCAAATGGTGTCCTCTGTTGGTGGTCAGCCCTTGTGTCATTTATGCCTGTTTCATCATCTCTGACTGCTCTTGGAAAACGAGTTATTGACTTTCTGTGGACATTCGCTAACTTTTTGCTTTGACGACATACCCCGCCCGCACTGTGGGCGGGTTTTACATGGGTCATGGGTGCTTTTTTGTCCATTTGCTCTACCCTTCCCCCATCATGACAAGACCTCTCCAAGTTCTTCTTAGTTTGCCTTATGAATTTCTGGACAAACAGCAGAGCACACACAACAGACACACGCAGACACAGCAGATTATTGTTAAGGGCAGTGCTTGAAAGTGCTCCATGGCATAGCGCCTCACAATTGGGTCACTGAACAAGTTACTTAAGTCACTTAAAACAGGTGAAACAGCTCACTTTCAGAGCACGTGAAGCGATACTGTAGGAATAACTCGTCCACAACGGGACACGATGTTTCCGGAAACATTTCCTTCAGACTTCGATCTGTGCAAATTTTCTTTTTTTTTTTTTTTTTTTTTCTTGGAAAGTCACTGTGCACAGTCTAATAACAAGAGATCTTTATTCACTCACTGAATTAATCAGCAGTTAGTCCTTTCGCTGTGGATTAAAAGGGGTGTCAGTGAGGCTGGGTTCGGTGCGTCTCCGGCCCGTTCCCCACCGGCTGTTGAACCGGGTGAACGGCAACGATTGGTGGAAACCGGCAGATGCGAACGAAGATAATCTCTTGTGGCTCGCAGGAAGCAAAAAGAAAAGCAATTTGGCACCGCGCCGAACCCTTCTCTTTTCGACACGCCCCATTATTCACAACTATCAAAACTGTAAGTGGGAAGTCAGGCGCACCTGTTGCTGATGGTCTTCAAAGAATTTGGATTACTGCACGTTTGCGATAGTGGAGGCATGTTTCCAGAACAGACGTAACCTTCCTGAAAAGCGTCATGCTGTTGAAAAAACTGTAGGTATGCGAATAATAGTGACAGTAATATCGAGCTATGTTACTGTTACAGCTATCGCAAAAAAGGCTGTACTCATGATGAACCAAATGGCCTACTGTGAAAGAATGAGTCACGGCAAGAATTTAAATGGAGTAACTGTCAGTATTACAAAAGAGGTGCTGCCCGGCTTGGGAGGGAGCATGCTGTACTCTCATACTTCCTTTTGCTAGTTTGTGTTAATTAACAGGCTATACTTCGGTGAGACTTGTAAACTCTCTGTGAAGTTGCGAAATGATATAAGTGAGGCACTTTGGCCGCAGAAGTTCACAAATCTTCGCAAGTAGCCTGAGCTAGTCTCGTGAAAGAACATTTGGTGCCCCATCAAGCCCAACTGCCCAAATGCTCCAGAAAAAAAATCATTTTAAAGTTCTAGCAAGAACTCACGTAGGCTCCATAGGAAGCGTATTCGACTTGGATCGAGCCACCATTCATACAGACAAACTCAAATCGACTCGATGCGCATGAGATATTCTGCGCTGGCGATACTTAATCGATATATTGATTTTTGAAACTAACCGGGCATTCCCTCACAGAAACGGTTTCCGTCTGTTGATTAATTTTGCACTGTTGGAAATGTAGTGGCCATCGCAGAGCGACTAAAGGCCGATGAATAAAACAACTAGACATGCGGTTGCGCAGCTGTCTCCTTCAAAGGCACATTTCATGACTGGTAGTCGTGTACAATGGGATTCTAACACGGGTCTGTAAATGCTCGTTGGCTCGTCAAAAAGCGGAAGAAAATGCCAAGAAGAGCGAAATAAGGCTTCTAGTTTTTCAGTAGGATTTTAGAAGAGAGCGAGTGTGAGGTAAAGGAACACTGTGCACGTAAAAGTGAAAACAGGCAATGAGGGGAGAGCGCTCCTAGATGAGTGGAACCGCACCGCTCTACAACATTTGTCTCATAGGGGTTCACTATCGCGGTAGGCAGAGAATTTTCCCAAAGTGTCGCTAACTGTGCCCTGAAAAATTTCAAATGCCTGGGGTGCTTGCAACGCGAGAGGCCCAGAGTTTCAAACAGTCAAACTGATGCAGCCTCTGCAGCCACAAACCTGTCCACTTTGAACAAGGAGAAGGTTTATCCTTCAAAGTGTCGCCGAATGTGCACGAAGAAAAATCGACTGCTTCGCTACCGCACACCGAACTGTCATACACATATCAGAATCTGTTTCTGCCTTTTAGTTTAGATCTTACCCACCTCCTGTGAACGTTTCGCACCGCACTCCGCCATAATTCGGTTGACAAAGGCATTGTGGCAGGACATATTGCGAAGCAGCTGTAAAAATCGGTGAAGAATAACACCAGAGTAAAAAGAATGTGAAGGAAAAGTCAGGCGGCTGGGTGTAAGTCCGCCCGTAGTCTAGCTGGGTTGGTAAAACACCAAGGCACAAATGGTGGGCCGACTCCGCCCATGCGTCCATCAAAGACTGTGCCTTACAGCAGAGTCGCTCTTGCAACCACCTAGCTTTGCTGATCAGAGTTAGGAAAACCTTAAGAAATATTCGTGCCAAATGATAGCCTACCTTTATCGACTGCTTTTCTTTTGCAGACAACGTAGTTGAGCGCATCACAGGACTCTGACATCCAATTCCGGAACATTGACTCTTGCTGAAGCGATGCACAAACCTCTGAAGAAAGCAAGACGACTTTTTCACGCTTTCATGGCACACAGTGAAACAGTTATCGATTTTGCGCGCGTAATATAGCTGTATATAGTGCAGCTATATATAGCCTTTGGCAATCCGGTGAGGAAGGCTCAAGAATCAATGTCCAGTAGATGGAAAACTGCCTTTACCGTCGTAATTCGGATATATATTCGGCTCTCCAACTTGCCAGAACTGCTTTTTAAGCACGTATGAGCCCGGAAAGGATACCCATGCCGGCTCTGAACCATTTGGGACTGATCGTACAGACGTCCACACACCAGTGACTGGTGGTCCTGAAAACAATTACAATTATGCAGTCACTTCGCTACCAGTCGAGAGATTCACGTTCAGGCGCTGCGCGCAAAGGCAACGTTCCTAAGCTCGTTCATAGGCAGCGTTCATACACTGCAACAGCGCTCCGAATACTCTCCACTACGAACCAGCGCCGATCGATACCTTGTTGTGTTCCCGCTACAGCATTCAGCACCATTGCTGTGGTAGCACGTCGACGCGCCCTACAGCGCCATACAGCGCATCATCGCGAAGTCTGAACGCCGCCATCTCAGTAAATCGAAGTTCCCGGTGCGGATTGCGTGCGTGTGACGCTGCTCCGCAAGCCTTTTTGTAGCGTCATCGCAACATGAATTTCACTGAGCTCTTTGACATACAGCTACTCATCTTCCAAATCCGTTATAAGGCCCCGATGCATCATACGGTCCTCGGTAGTGGAACACTAATATCTCTCAATGGAATCAGCCTACCTTGTGGAGGTACTGCAGACAAAACGCCCTGGATATAACCAGCGTAAAACGTCTGATCGTCATCGGATTCGGTCAATGCCATCACTTTCTCTTGGTCGTTGCAGTATCGGGCAGCCTAAATCGATAATGGACTAATGCTTTAGGTTGTTGTTGCAAAATCGAGCAGCGAATCGATAATCGATTGCTTTAGCGACTGCTGTAATATCGCGAAGGCCAAATCAATAAGGTTGACGCATATGAATATCTAGCTCAGCTTTCCACCTTTACAACTTGATAATCGACTGGATAATTTGTAAAGGGTGTAAAATTGCTGCCTATTTTGTACAGGCGTTATCCATGCAAACGAGAGGACGTGTGAAGGGATGCTAATTGGAGCGCAGTCAGGGCAGAGTTTTCACCAATTTCGTTATCGGCTCAGAATGATATCAATGCTGGAAAAACCGGCAGCACCAGCCTACGCCTGCGCTCTACCACGCCCCTCATAGCTCGCTCATTTTGGGAGTAACAACTATCTGATATTCTGGTCTTCTTCGATGGCCGTTTCTTCTCGCTAAATCGACCTGTACCTTCCTTTGGCTCCTTAAATCCCTCCCTGTAGTTTACTTGACAGAGACGGGTGAGAGAGTCAAAAGTGAGAGAGACCTGTGTGTACAGCTTAAGGTCTCTCCTACTGGATGATCGCTCAAAAAATGAGGCAGCGACTTAGAAAGAGAACCGGTTCTATGCACTCCCACCGGAGTGATTTCAAGCATCTTTAGAGGAAAATTAGAGCGACGATAAGCTTAATTTCGTGCTGAAAGACTTCTGTAAGATAGCAACCTTCCCTTGCGAAGGGCAATGAGGTCGGAGGCACGTGCCTGAAAAAGCGCGCACTCTTTCCAATCTTTCCAAGTGGATAAGGGCCGGAAAACGCCGATGTGAGGGATATGATGACTCATAATGGAGCTCTGCAAATTATGGACTTGCAGGCATACGAGGGTAGGGTTTAAGACAAGCAACAGGGCACAAGAAGCATTTCCTCAGTAATGTTCACTCTCAGTTGGAAGCGTCTGGCGCGCGCCTTTCGAGCAATGAATGCTTGGGATGGGGGCTGCCTTCAGGAGTAACTGTGTCGCTTCCTTCTTTGACTGTCAGTGACGTTGTCCTGCAACGTGCCTAAGAAGCCCGAGAAAAGTTTATGCTACTTCCCTGTTCGCAAGCAGTTGTGAGCAGGAAATGTGCTCGCAACCACTTGAAAGCGATTGCGCTGACTATCTCGCAGACAAGCAGACATGACGTGGAATGGTCGCGCTCCGTGTGACTCCCCATCGGCCACCTTGATCCCGCTAGTTTCATCCTTAATAAGTGAAAGGCCTACGTGAAACATTGAGGGGTATTCATTGTTTCCTGGTAAGTGGAACCTTTACGCGAGACGCTGGTGCGTGCCAGTGGGACTGGGTATGGCACATTGCCAGCCCATTTTGCACCAATTGTTGAACCTTGCCCGTCTCAACAGCTAGCACCTGCTGACACGCCCCAGCGTATGCAACGAAAACGGCAAGGAATATCCTGACGGCCATCCGTGTTGAATCAACTACTGCTAGGATAAGGCTCTTGGTAGGATTTGAAGCATTCAAGAGACGAACAAAGCACTTACATCATTCCATTTCATCGGTTTGCCATTGAACGAGTAACAATAGCCCATGTGATAGACTTCGTCATCATCGCAGAGTTTTCCAGCGGGAAGTTCTGAAAACGTCACTCTTTTCAGAAATAGACAGACCAATTATGATAATTACTGAGTAATGAATAGACCTGCAAATTGTAATAATTCCTTTAAAAAATAGTTCCAAGAGGAGAGTACTCCAAGAGGAAAAGTGACGTGTTGTGGGCAGGTTAGGGAAAAAGTAGTAATTGTTTAATATATCGTTCATAC